CCGGAGGGCAGCGGCGGCATGGGTGATGGGGAAGACATGATCGAACCGGAGTCTCTGGATACCAAATTGGTAGAACCTAGAGCCGTACCGGGTCTGGGGCGTAGGTGGTATGGAAAGGAGGGAGGCGGGCGTGGGCTGGAGCGCGGCGGCCGGCGGCGAGGCGCCGTCCTTGCGATGGCGGCGGCGGCGGCAAAGGCAAGTGGCGACTAGGGCTTAGGGTTTTCGGCTCCTTTGGGAGCCGGGCAATAGAATAGTCTTATTGCTTAAATCTCAAAATAGTCTTACAATCTGTTTATATAACCATAACGTGAAATAAAACTAAGATAACTTGCGGGCTAAGCTTGCCCGGTGGGCCTCCTACGGCTGTAGGTCCGGCCGGTCATAACACTAAGTCAGCCTAAACATAAATCAACCGAGATAAGGTTCAGGTTAAATAGTTTCACGTTCGATGTAAGATTATAGTTCAGTGTTCAAGTCAGTTCAAGAACATAAATACTCCTTTCACTTTATATTTCTCTACTTTGTGAAGTTATGCCACTCTTTTTGTTAAGGCGTCACTCAACTTTGCAATCTTCATATGTACCAAAACCAAACCTCTGTTTTATCTCAAAATAAAAGTAAAAACAGGACATATAATTGACATATACAAGTGTGGAACGAAACATGGTACAACGAATATATGGAGCAATAGAAGGCATGTTCTCTTTCAGTATCAAATTGATCAGTACAACATCTCAAAAGCAAAAAGAAAGAAAGATGAAGGGCTCATGATCGACGTCTCGATTTCCACTGAAAGAACTAAGCACGTAAAGCCCTGAACACTTCTGGTTGACTTCCTCTGAATCCTGCAGGCACTTCTCTGAAGAAAGGAAGGAGAGAGGACTGTGAGCTAGCATCCTCCCATTCTAAACTTTCCCACCATTTTCGCTCGCCAAATATCAGCGGTGAACTCTCGGCGCCCACTAAGTTCTGTGGCAGCTTCATTAGCATGGGGCATCCATAAACGAGCAAGCGCATCAATGATGGGAAGGTGATTCTGCCATCACAGATGCTATGTAGGTTCTTCAGATTAGGTAACGCCATGGACTTGAGTCGAGGGAAGGACCTTGTGGCAGATAGCACAGCTTCTTCATCTTTACCCACCAGCTCAACTATCGAGTCACAGTCACCCAAGTATACACTTTCGAGGCAAGGCAGCCATGTGATCCATGTGATCGATATCAACTTGTGGCAATGTGAGATGGATATTCTCCTGAGGCCTGAAAGGCAAGTGTTGGGTTCAATACCTTTAAACTCAACCCTCTGAAGTGCTAGCAGACTATATAGAAGTAGTGTTTCTAGCCTTGGCAAGCACCAACCTGGGTCTATATCTGTCTGACCTATCACTATGTCCTCCAAAAGATTGATGTGTTCCAGTGACAGAGCTTTCATGTATCTAGCCTTGCTACTTGCAAGGAGCAGTGGTGATATCTGAAGAGATTGCAAGCCTTCAAGAGCTGTAATGCAGAGGCCGCTTACAAAGGCTCTGGGCAAGTTGCAGATCTTCCACATTGAGTCTGAATCTTGTACTGTAAAACTAATATCCCGTAGCCTAGTTAAACTTTTGAGTTCTTCGATATATCGTGCTGAGTAATCAATTGTCAAATCATGACATCGATATAAATCTAACCGCCTTAACATCTTCAGTCTAGCTAGCAAACCATTTGGTATATTTCTGAGACGGAAGGTGCTCTGCAATTGTAAGTACCTTAGATCTTCCAACTGCCCCAGCTCCTCTGGCAATGATTGTATTGGTGTCCGAGAAAGAGTAAGGAACTGCAAGCTCGTTAATGCTCCTATTTCTGATGGTATTTCTTGGATCTGTATTCCAGAAAGATCCAAATAATTGAGTGATTTCATGGCAGAGAAAAAACCAGCTGGGAACTCAGAAATATGCTCACTGTTTGCTATCATTAATGTTAACAGGTCAGGGCAGCTGCAAGAACTAGGAATTGTCTTAATATCATCACCATATAGGAAGATTCTATCAGCGGTGCTCCAAACGTCTGGTTGGGTGTGTTCTCTTTGGTCCACCAGCCACTTCTCTTTACGCATCCCGTTCTGTTTTGTCGCTACAATCCACAAGGCTAGATCTTGAACAACATGGTGCATTTTCACACGTTTCTCCCCTCTGCCAGAGGATTAAAGCAAGAACGATCTTTTCAAAATTTCAATAATAGAATATCCAATCAAGTAAGTTCTTTCAATATCATCATCCTCACCTAGCAGTCCATGCCCCATCCAAATGTGAATTAAACCAATAGAATCCCAATCATCATCTGGATGTTGTGCGGTAGTCCCCGCAAATAGTAGAAAGCACATTCTAATCACATCACTTTGCAAGCTATCATAACTAATTTTCAGTATAGAAAAGAGTTCGTTATCTGAACCAGAAACCTCATGGAAAACTGAATCTTCTACTAACATCAAACTGTATTCCCATTCTTCTGAAGCTACCTTGGAAGCCATAGCCTGCCCAGTTATCTTAATTGCTAGTGGAAGACCTCCACATTTTGCAGCAATCTTCTTGGCACATCCCCTAATTCGAGCATCTTCCGTCTTTCTTTCACCAACAACCTCTTTAAACAGCTGCCACGAATGATCAGAATTCAAGCATTTCAACTGTATAACGTTTTCAAAAATTTGCATTCTACCACAGACATCCAAAGATCGTGTTGTGATCACCACAGTCTGACTATTTTGAAGGCAACACTTCTTCGAACCATGTGGTATACCAACTTTCACTAGGTCCAGCATTTCCCAAAGATCATCAATCAGCAATAGGAATTTCTTTTCCTTTAAAAAGTTGAAAATAGCTCTAGCTCTGTGTGTTGCATCTCCATCATTTGTTAACAACAGTCCTAGTCCAGATGCAATGCTCTGCTGAACTGCCATCAAGTTTAGCTGCTTGCCAACTTCAATAAACATGACATGATCAAATACAGGCCTTTCAGAGCTATAATAGTTGTTGATTTGTTTAAGGAGAGTAGTTTTTCCTGACCCTCCCATGCCACATATGCCAATGATGTCGGTAGGGCCTTCCTCAATGCAACCGAAAACCTTGTTTCTGTAGTGTTCTTGGCCTACGATGTTTGCTGGTAAAGGCAACTCCAAACCAACTGGTGGGAGCAAACTTAATATATCATCCTTTTGAAGTGATCTCTTGTTAATATCTTCAATATCAGCTTTAACTTTTGCAGCAGATTTGCTAATTTTATAGTTAGACCAACAACTCCAGGAGCAGCGAAAGATATGTATGGTCCTTGCCTGGTACTTATTGCTGATGCTGCAAGCTTCAGCTTCAATAGACTGAGCACTCTCTGTCCACTTTGTTACTTGTACCTTCGGTCTCTTGCCTTCGCGTTCACCTAACTGAATGGTCTCCTCGATGGTATGTATGGAGTTCCTCAATTCATCAGCAGCTTTGGCTAGATTCTTGACATTGGTTTTAGGCTTCAGACAGTAGCCAATATGCTTCTTGATCGGCTCCCATAACTCATTTACAACGAGGGTAACGATCGGGGCGAGTATGCCATTCTGAGCCATGTAGCTGCAAACAAGTAAATGAAGGTGTAATCGATAACGGAGCTACGACTATATTTATTTATGGAAATTGAACAAAAAGCAATTCAGCAATATATCTTGCAGATTTAAGTAAGTTTACTTTGAAGTATCGAGACTCGGTAAAATCATCCTTTTGATTTGCATGATTCTAAAAATGTAGGAATAAGAAAAATGCATTGTCAAGCCCATTCGAATCCTGTATGGTTTCTATTTGTTTGATTGCTCCATAGGAAAAACAGAGGATTCCTTCCAAGAGATTTGAGTGGATGCAATTTTTTTGATGAAATATAGTGCAACGAAGTCCGTATGAAAAATTACTGTAGGATTCAATCATAAGAATGAAACAGCCGATAGAAAAAATCCTAAGTATTTTAGTCCCCTGTATTTCCTGTTGAAATATGTACTAGTCAAAGTTAAAGGATAGCCAAGTACTTGGAGACCATACAGTGTCTATCTCGCTAAAATTGTGTTGTCTGCTGCAGGAATGAAGCAAGTGTGTCCTGTCGCGTACGTAGAAGGACATATCGTATCGATATATGAATCATGAACTTTTGGGACAACATTTACAGTTTTGCACTCTGGTTTGGAAGACATCAAAATAAAACAATATTGGCAAGGTATGGATGAAGTAAGTGAGAAAGAGGAATCAGCATCAATACCTTAGGAAGCTGGGAGTCGGTTCTTCTATCTCCTCCGCGCCTTCAGATTTGTGGCAAAGCTATGGCCGCCAAGGAGATGACAGCAGTTGCGATTGACCTCCCAGCAAAAACGAGCGTGTTAATCGTCTACCTGCGCCGGATGTAAGAAGAGGAGTGGAGAATTCAGCACTCAAGAGGGATGCGTGCGTGCTGTGTAGTCTAGTCAACAAGAGTGGTTCTCTCCCCCCACCCCCTCTTCTTTCAATCATACAAATCAAACAACCGATAAAGAAAAAACAAATCCTAATATTCCTATGAAAATCCTTTGAATCAAAGAGGCCTTGAATTTGTATCTTACCTCTAGTTGCTTTTACCTCAGAAAAATACAGAATGTTCTTTAGAAAAAAAGGGCAAATACCTTCTGGCCAAAATGAATGGATAGCCGAGTTCTTGGGGAACATGCGGTATCTATCTCACTAAAATTTTGTTGTCTGCTGCAGGAACGAAGCAAGTGCGTCCTCTCACATCGATATGTAAATCATGAACTTTTTAGGAAAAACATTTGCAGTTTTGCACTCTGGTTTGGAAGACGTCAAAGAAAACGGTTTTTGCAGGTATGGATGAGGTAAGTGAGGAAGAAGAATTGGCATCAATCAGTACCTTGTTCTGGGTAAGCTGGGGGAGTCGGTTCTTTATCTCTTCAGATGCTGATGAAGCTCTGGTCACCAAGGAGATGGCAGCAGTTGCGATTGGCCTCCCAGCAATCTAGAGGGATGCTTAAGTATTCTAGTCAACAAGAGTGGTTGTAGCAAAAAAAAAAAAAAACCCTATATCCTTGAACAGTCAACAAGAGAGTGGTTGTATTATTGTGCTCCATTCACTATCAGCGGAACCTACCTAATGAAATCTATCTTTGTCGTTGTTAATTGCCAAACACAATTGAAAACGAGTACCTTGGACCAGTAAACCGGTCCACCTGTACGCGCGTTTGTTTGTCCGCGTTGAAATCGCCAAGAAAAGTATGGAGTAGAATTCAAGATGGCAACGGGGACGAAACCCACCGGGTTTTGCCTGCCCAAACCTATCCCCACGAGAAAATTGTAAACCCGTCCCCGTCCCCGTGCGCACGGATAACTTTTTGCCCGTCCCCTAAACCCTTTGGGTCTTCTAAACCCATGGGGAACCCACAGGAAAATCGACATATTTAAGTAAACATAGTAGCAACAAAGAATAGCATTTCATAAGCAAAAGAAGCATATTTCAGTAGCATAACTTGAGCAAATTTCAGCACAATACAATAGTACATGGTTCAGCCTGTGCGGGAGGGAGAGAGACTTGAGAATCGAGCGACCGAGCGAGGCTGCGAGGGGTTGGTTTGGAGTTGGACTCGAGGGCCTCAACTCTGGGGGCTCGGGCGATGTGGCTTTGGGCCGCTTGGGCGATGGATCAGTGCATTTAAAAAAAAAACTTATTTTACCGGGTATTGTCGGGTTTCGGGTTCAGGGACTACCGAAATGGGTGTAAGCCCATGAATCATGCTGGGTTGTATAATGTGCCAGAGGAGGCTGTTAATTTTCTTGAGGTACTTGCTTATCTAGTTACAGATGTTTTCCAAGTAGAGAGTGGTGGCAACACACGTTCCTGCTCTGGTTTCAGCAAATACACCTTCGATGTACTTGTTTATCTTGGATGTACGCTGAGGTCCAGATATTCTTGGAAAATGATCTCTAAGCCTTTGAGATGGATCTCTAAAACAAGTTGCTTGGGTGGTTCAGTAGGGTAAACAGGTGTAATGCAGCAGAAATTATTTCACCGGTGTCATAAAAGATAGGACTGGTACTCTGAACCTGATGCATGTTTCAATTTTGACAGCTGTGAAAACCTCAGTTTTATTCACAACTCCTTGTAAACAGATTTGTGTAAAACAAAAAGCAAGCACAAGCTACAAATTGCTCATTTAACTGTAGCATGCTATAATTAGGGCATCCTCAAACTCTAAAACATTGAAGGGGGCCTTACAACATTACTATAATTGAACCACCAGAAGATAAATAAAATGCGCAATGCCGTTTTGCTCTGACGCCCTCGAGTCCGGTCTTTCGGCTTCAGGTTCCCTTCCTGTCTTTCCTCAGAGTTACATAAGTGGGGAATGTGAAGAGCTTCTCTAGAAAATCTGGTTCATCAAGGCCCTGAAGAGAACAGATACACGAGCAGGCAAATTGCGATAAGTATATACTACCTCCGTCTTAGTTTATTGGTCCCCTTCATATTTTGTGTCAAATTTGACCATAAATTTAACTAACAAAATGTTAATGCATGTCACCAAAAATTATATTGGTGGATTCGTATTTGAACATAGTTTCTCATGGTATATGTTTTTATGACATGCATTGACATTTTATTAGTTAAATCTATGGTCAAAATTTGACACTAAATACGAAAGAGACCAATAAACCAGGACGGAGGTATTAGAATCAGAGTTGATGCTACGAATGGTAGAATGCAGCGCAAGACATGCCGTACCTCATACATATCTC